AGTACAACATGCGAACAAAGATATTTTTACATATACTACCCATCAAAAGTTTAGACTCACTCAAAGCACTCACGATATGTTATGTCTTTATATATGGTTACATCGAAGATGAATTTCTCCACTAACTTGGGGAAACCAACTGCAAACCTTATGCAGATGAATTGCACGAGGATCATGCATCAAATTGCTGAAAAGCATGTGCAAATATTGTGCATGTGAACAACTGCGTTTTGGTGTAAAGTTTTCACTTGGTATTGTTAAGAACTCGCCAGTTTTCACCAAGTTTCATTATTTATTGAACTCATGACAATAATCTTTTCAACGTCTCGAATTTGTTTTACAATACATCAGTTCATGTGTAAACAGTACCTTTAAACATGATGGAATATTTTGCAAAATCTAGTTGGGAACAGTTGACTGAAGTAAGTGTCTACATTTATTTACATTAGTGAGTCGAAACTTTTGATGGGTAGTATATTGGCAGAGATACCTTGCCAGTGAGTGTTTGTGACAACCTGAAAGTCACTGAAATTATGCAGATGATTCTTCCCTTATGCGGAATACATGATACAACAATAGTGATAGTTTTAATAACACGCTGTCATCTCCAGTATTACGAAAGGCAATACAAATTTCGCTTAATGGTCTGTTGAAATAATACTGTCGAATGTATTTCTTCCTTATACAGGTATATTCAGGACTGGTATAATATACTGAAAGCCATTAAAAACGCAATTGGTATTTGTTGTCCTGAAATTTACAAAAGTTCTATTGAAGATTTTTTCCTGCGATACAGAGGATGTAGGGATAAAAGGCTGTTATTCTGGCCCATTTCGAGTTCGAATCCCGGAGCATTCCCCTCACATGAACTTTGATACTTAAAACTAAACCTTTGACATTTCTCGTAAACACAACCACATTCATTAAACACGTTGTGAACATGCATTACCTGTACCCAGGCCCTGTAAAAGCACAAGGAATTGTGGAACTCAATCACTTTGAGAAAATGCCACACTTGACACAAGACGAAAGGATTCAGGTTATCATATCAAAGGATTCTGGCAATCATCACATCTGAAGCACCTTGGCTGACCATACCGGTCAGCCAAGGTGCTTCAGATGTGATGATTGCCAGGCACTTTAATGTGCATCCATCCACTGTAAGTCGACTCAGACAACGTTTTCGGGCTTCTGGAAGTGTTGCTGATCGTCCGCGACCTGGTGCACCACCTGTGATAACAGCTCGACAAAACCGCAGTATCCGAGTTTCACACTTGCGGAATCGGTTCCAAACAGCTGATGATTAGGCAAGGAGGACAATTGGGACAAGTCAACGTCATTTCAGCTCCCAAAAGGTGCAAGGACGCCTTGCTGCCTTTAACATCCGGTGTCGTCACCCGTACCGTGGTCCAACCTTATTGCATCGCCACAGACTTGTCAGACAGCGATGGGCAGCAAATGGGGCCCATCTTGGCAACAGGACATGGCCAGATGTCATTTTTTCAGATGAATCCAGGTTTAACTTATCCTTTGCAGATGGACGTCAACAGATTTATCGACGTAAAGGAGAAAGACTTGCGCCAAACTGTGTCCTTGAACATGATCGTTTTGGAGGGGGTGGTGTCATGATCAGACCACAGACCATCAGAGGCTGCAGACCATCCAACAGCTGTTCCTGAGAAATGTGTGTTTTTCAATGCCCCAAAGACTGCGAGCATGTCTTGCAGCGCACGGTGGACACACGATATTGACTGTAAGTGACCCCTCCTTTGTGTGATGTCGTTGTTGTGTCACTGATGTTGTTGTTGACTGGACATTTTCAGATGAAATTATTCACAGATGTTCACTTAAAACATATCTGCCAGTTAGGTTTATATATGTTGTAATTAGTGTGAGTAAAGAAAGTATGAATGGCTTTCAGTATATGATGTTATATTCCTTGCCATGAGAACAATACGTCCAGGATGTACTAACAATATCTGTAGTTTTAGAAACTCATGCCGCACGTATGTTTAATTTGTGTAAATTACATCTAAATCTAGGGAACGTACATCGTTGGATTGTTATAAGATAAGTCTCAGGTGTAATATTATATTCGAATTCAGAATAATATTCCAGCACATGTTTCTACTGTTAAACAGATATTTGCCATTGTATTGCATGTTGACATACAATGCGATATCAATAAATGATATTGGCAGCACAACGCACTGTAAATATTGCATTGAACAGCATCACGTCTTACATTTCAAAATCAGTGAAATATCTAAATATCTTTATATCTGTATTATTTTCTAAAAGAGTCTGAAGTCATTTTGAAGTGTCATCTTGAGAAGATAAATATTGCATAAATACTGAGGCTACAAAGCTTACAGAAAAATTCTAATGATTGAAATATAAAACGTCATTGCTGGAGAACAACCAGCATCGATCATCCTACGAAACAGACGTCGTGAACGCAAAAGGCGAAACAAGTTCAGTGAGTGAGTGAGTGAGTTTAGTTTTACGCCACTTTCAGCATTATTCCAGCAACATCACGGCGGGGGACACTAGAAATGGGCTTCACACATGTGCGGAGTCGAACCCGGGATTTCGGCGTGACGAGCGAACGCTTTAACAACCTACCCCACCTCCCCCATTTCACAAGAACACATTGTGCTTATGTGTGTTGCGTTCCACTATAAGCTATACACACACAAAGTTTCATTTTTTCAACATTCATATTCACTGATTATGGGTCGTAAATAGGTTTTTCAATATGACTGGCATGGCCGCCATTTTGAACTTGGAGTTCGAACCTTTGGGACGAATTAAGGTTTATCTTTATAAGTGAATTATTTAGGTTTTAGTGTGCAGTCGTTTCTGTCATGATATTTGCAGCGCAGAGATGGTGATTTTCACATTTTGGAACACTGTCTTGGAGGAACCGATATCAAGATCTAATATATCGAAAAAAATATTATAGGATTTACAAGAAACACTACGTATTAATTATGATAAAAACGTCTTTCTTTAAAATTGTTGTCATTTGTTTTCAAAAGTGGTCCAAGCGTTTGCGAAATATGTTTAGCACATCAAAACTCACTCCCTTCATAACTTAGGCTTAAATATATGTATTCTCTTTCTCAATTATGTGAATTTACATTTGCAAAAATGATAGAGATTATTAATATATCCCAAACATGGCAACTTATCAATACAGAATTATCAATATATCCAAAGTGTCGTGTGATAATATCAACAAAGAGTGTTTAATGTATCAAAAGTATCATGTTATTACTTATCAATATATAATTATTATGGTACTATAACATATCAATATAGAATTATTCATACATCCAAAGTATGATATGATAAAATACCAATGTAAAATTATCAATATATCTAAATTATCGTTTCATAACTTATTAACATAGTTGACATAGAATTATCAGTTTATCCAAAGTATGGTATGTTTAGTAATAAACCATGATTTTGACCCATGCGAATTACAAAAAAGGATGACATCCATTGCACAAATTCCCTCAATAAATGCTTTAAATATTTCGAACGCAAGAATTGCTAGAATTGCCAGAAGTGAATGAACATTACAACAATGTTCTCACCTTAATCATACAACCAGGCACAGTTCTGATCGGAATGAAACCTCGCATCGCTCTATGCAGGAAATGAGCTTCACCCTGCCTCCTTCCAGGGACCATGGCTTAAATAGTCGATATCTGTGCACACGACCCGGCCACCCCCTACTTGTGACCACACAGCTAATCAAATATCGCTTGATGTTATTCGCCAGCTAAGTATTTGATCGAGAGGTGGTATCAGAGCTGCCTTTCGCAATGTTTAACTTTGTTATGATGTTTTGCACAACTTTGTTATGATGTTTTGCACAAGTATGACAGACAGATATTAATATTAACGATTTTTAAGTTGATTGCTTCATCATTGATAATACAATGTATTAAGTACGATTTGGGACAGTGGTCGACGGCATCACAATGATCCAGGCTGTCTGATTAAAAGGATGCTCTCGCGCATAAATGCTTTCCAACTAAGGAAACAGGTTTTCAACAGTTCTGTTCAGTGCAATATTCTGAGTAACTGGTCAGGCATTTTTGTTAATGCATTTGATGAAAGCATGCTTTAATTTCTGAAACAAAAGAGGCAAATGTGTGCTTTGTCACATCTGGAATCCAAAGAAACTGGGCAATTACTAGGAAATCTGACAAATTGATAAACTCTCCAGAAAAAGCAAATAGAAACACTAGAATCTATACATTTAAGTGGTTAAAACATATTTATTCAAGTAATCATGACGGGATTGGAAAACAAGCATGAACATCCTTATATCAATGCCGCTCCCTGGCAATGATACAATAACATAGATAGTGGTGTACACATGGACGGGATCTAGTCAAATGGGCCGAAGGACAAAAGGGCCGAGAAGTGCCAAGTCAAATGGGCCGATGGAAAAATCCAAATGGGCCGTGGTGAAAGTCAAATGGGCCGTGAAAAAAACGTCAAAAGGGCCTTATTCTTAGTCATATGGGCCAAACAAAAATAATTTCACAAATGTTTTTCATTTTTCATTGACATATACAGCATTAAAACATAATATCATAACAATAATAAAATGGTATTTGCCAAGCATGTCTTAGCATTTAATGGCAGTACATATAGATTCATAGTTCATAATTTAAAGCACTTAAGTCTCAGTTCATTCCAGCACTGGTATATCCGGTTCAGGTGCTACACTACTTTCAGTTTCTCACAAGTTCATACGAACACACTTGGGGCATACACTCTTGAACACATCGTCACTGCACACACTGGGCAGTCATGGTTAGTGTTGTGGATGTTGTGGGTTGGAAAGCAGGTTATATACCATATTGTCAATGGAAGTGAGTTCATTAGTTAAGACACTGAGTCGAGATACTTAATGAAAACATTTGAGTCACATGTTCAAATTCCATTCAAGATAACAACAACAACAACAAACAAAACACTATCAACACTATTTTATTATGGACTTTTTGACTTTTGATTTGGGTCCATTTGGCATTTGGCTTCGGCCCATGAGACTTTTTTTCGGCCCTTTAGTCCTTCGGTCCATTTGACTACGACCCCACATAGACTATGTGCAAAACATAATGGAAATCTAAAAGGACAATAATGAAAATATTATGTGTGAGAATTTACAAAAATATCTTTGAAGGCAAATAAACTCAGCTTAAGAATTTAGTAGCTATTGTGATGTCAAGATACTAGCAAAGCACGGTATATACAATAAAACTAAGTTAGGTAAATTGCGAGAATCTCTGAGAAGATATGATGTAGTTATGTAGATATTTTAATAATTCTAGATTTACCTTTGAGATGAGTCCGAATGACCATATAAAACTGAAGACAAATTAAACCTAGTAAAGAAATGTGCATTTAATCTTATGTCGTTAAATGTAGGACAGATGAGGAAGAAATGAAGCGCATCTTCAGTGTGATGCCCGCAGTTACATTCAGGGCTATCAAATATTGATCTGGCAGGGATTGGGAAAGGCAGGGGCCATGGCCCATTTTGCACATTAGAATAAAACATGGCCCATTAAAATTTTGAAGTTTACTATTGATGCAAGGGCAGAGGTCCATTCTAAATTCAGAAAATGGCTAATAATCCTGAAAATGGCCCATTGTCAAAGTTCTCTATCCCAATCCCTGGATCTGGTAATCTCCATCTCGATACATTTAAGTCGACATATATGTAACGTTCTATGATTTGAAAGGCCACAAGTGCAAAAGGAAGAAGCGGATGTTAAAATACAAATAATAATAACATTAAATAAGATTCTTCCCATCCAGTGCGAGTTTGTCCACGTAACCTTTCTGTCCATGCCACAGATTTCAGTTTAAGATGAAGGTAATACGTAAAAATCGAAATAACTCATTTCAGGGACCTCATTGCATATTTGTCACTAGGGTCTACTGGCAACACAAAAAGTAAATGCATTTCTGGTGACCACTGCCATGATAATGCTGGAACATATCTGGAACATTGCTGGAACATTGCTGGAACATTGCTAAAGCGGCGAAAAACATACTCATTCACTCTCTCACCCCGAGTGATGTACGCATGTCTTTAGGAATTACTATCAACCTGGAATGATACCAGGTGTGTTCGAGAAGTGAGTGTATCCTGACACATCGATGACACCGGTCGCAAACACATGCAAAGGCAAGTCAATTTTCACTAGAAATATGGGAACATTCAAAAAACGAAACTGAAATCAGACATCATCGTGGTCACTGATGTGACATTTTATAAACCTATGGCCAATGTTGTCTATTGTTCTTGTAGTTGCTTCGCATTATGGAATAACCTCGGTAGAGGTTTTACGGTTGCAGGTGGTTTTACAATGACCATTGTAAAACCTCATACGAGGTACGAAGTTTTACAATGGTCGTTGTAAAACCTCATACCCTGAGAATTTTTCACACAGCAAAATGTTTGTTTTGGTTGTGTCAAAACTGTCATTAAATAAATCTGCGAGTATTACATGTTATAGACACGACTAAATGAAACATGTTGCTGTGCAAGTCTATGCAGACGTACCAATGGAAATAAAAAACCCAACAAACTTTGCCACTTTATGTCTGAATAGTCATTGTACACGTAATTTAGTGAAAATTGAAGGTAACGGAAATGTTTCCACGCTCGAGATGAGCATCCAACCGTGTTGTGGCGGTGGTGGTGCAGTTTTGGGGATCAGCAGAAATTCTGGGATTCTTTGCAACTATGTCGGAAACAAGGGCCTTCTGGGCGTCATTGCTTCTTTTGTAGGTTCGCACAGCACTCCTATGATCTGAAGAAAAGATATTTGCCATCTGTGTAAAGTAGTACAAAAATGGACGATTTATTCCTGCCAAACACATCGTACGTACTACTTACTGTAAACAGAAATTCATTAAACTTTACCAGTGTGTTCACAAATAAGTTGTTACTCAACATTTGTCTGAAACAACCTCGTCGCTGCGGTTGCTCTAAGAGAATGGTTCGTCTTACGACCTTCTATGCCTCCCTGACTGCATATTCTTTTCAGTGTTCTGCAAAGTATTATGTCCCACCGGAACATCCAGGTACCACACTGTATCATCCTTCGGCCTCTTCACCGGCGTGAAATAGAACGCATCCTGGATTGGAAGGGAGACTAACATTTTACAGAAATATATATTAATTGTATTTCTAAATGTATCATATATTCATGTATTTATATTTACACTTATGTTTGTATTCATTTATTTATTCGTTATCATTATTATTATTATTATTTACACTTAACACAGCGACTTGTACTTTTGGTAAAGTCGGACGTAACATCTCGTTGAATCATCATTTTCGTAGGCTCGAACTACTTTAGGTTTAAGTTTCCTCTGGGTCATTCCTCCCGGGTTAGTTTTAGACACATCTTCCGTGTAACACAGATAATGTCGGCCGCCTGTGTCCTGATGTAGGCCAGTGATCTGAGGGTTGCTATGCAACCGGAGGCTTCGGCGTTCTTTACCTCCGCGTAACGCAAAATGTAGTCCTGTAAAAAGTAAATGTTTGATTACAAACTAAACAGAAGGAAAATTAAAGCTGAGCTGATTTGAATTTCTTTTTGATAAATAGGATACAGGATTGTTTTTGAATGGAGTGCGCGCACCCGAAATACCCCCTCCCCTCGGTTCCGTGCTTGTATTAATATGTATTGATATACACGTATAGTTACAGAAATTGTTACTCACCTGTCAAATAAAGAACAGTATCAAGGAGCTGTTGGGGATTTTCTTCTCCTAGAATCCCTTTCTCCCAAAGGCGTTGCCCCTCCTCCTCCGATATTATCTCCGTGTGTTTACATACAGACGTCCCGAACCCGGCAGCAGACCTTTCTCTCATTGCGGCATCGAGCGCTTTTCTACACTCAGCAAACTCATCATGTTCGAACAAACCTTTCCTTGATCCAGACATTTTCACTGCAGAGGACAAAGCCGCAAACAAGCCATACAGAGTACTTGATAGGTAAGGAGTAACGTCCACTTTTCTGGTTTCGAAAATGAAGTACATGTATTTCATTGCCGTGTTAACTTCAGCTGGCGTCATATCCACTAAGTTAGTTTACAGACATCCACATGAGAGGGCAATATTATCCTTCATGGGCCGTTGACAGCGCTCCTTCTGCCAGCGACTGAACACAGACAACGCCCAGTCGTTTTTGTATTTAGTTCCTTTAGGTACGCAAAGCTTCAGTTTTTCGTTTTCTCTTCATCGTCATTGTCACTTTCTCCCCGGAAGGTAGATTGTGTTAGAAACAGTTCGTTGTCAGACATGTTCGCTACCGTATCTTTCAGTCAACTGATGAGACCATGCGGTCGAGGTACCCGGATGTTGAGCATGACACGGCATGCTGCACGTGCAGATTCACGTGATCCCAATGCTCTTCATTTTACCGCGGTGTTTATCCCGATGATCTGTATTATACCGCGGTGTAATCGTTTCAGTCTGTATGTGTTTAATTTTCAGAGCTTGTTTGAGTAATTTTTTGTTGCCTTAGACGGTTTATAAGTTTGATAAAAGACTCCTCCTCGGTTTTGGTTGAGAATATAAAAGCTCAGTGTCAGGAAATTCGGGATTTCCTTCTCCTGAGGTTTTACATTCTCAACCAAAACCGAGGAGGAGTCTTTTATCCTACACTTAAATGTCTTCCGCGAGTCCGCCATTAAACGTTCTGAACGCTTTACCTAAGTCATGAATATTATTAACCCTGATCAAACAACAAATAAATCCTGTATTCAAATTACGGTCGGTATTTCACAAACAAAATATCTAGTTATACCTTACGTTTAACTACCTTACGTCAGTGTGAACGGTTTACTCTTAAGCATTGGTTGATGAAGACCAATTCTCATCCGGATGTAAATGGGGCATGTACTTTTCTCCGTCAAGGTGAATCCATGAAGATCCGGGTTAGCATTGGTATTCAATAACCTCTGCTTGTGGTAACAGGCGACTATGGGATGGGGTGGTCAGGCTCGCTGACTTGGTTGACACATGCCATCATATCCCAAATGCGTAGATCGATGCTCATGATGTTAATCGCTGGATTGTTTGGTCCAAACTCGATTATTTACAGACCGCCGGCGCACAGCTGGAATATTGCTGAGTGCGGCGTAAAACATCCAACTAACCAACCAAATGTGATGGTCTTTGAAACCAAATTCGAAATTATGCCCTCTTTGTTACTCAGAAAAAGGAACAACTGCGTCTTCTGTTTCTTATTCATTCCTGATAAAGAGAATGGTAATGTTGATGATGATGATGATTGATAGACAGCAAGTTTGCCATTTTGCTGCGCTCGAATGAACCTAGGAACGGTAACAACACTCTGGTGTATGTATAACTATACATGATTTCCGGGAAACGGATATTGGACTCTGGAAGAGGCGGTATCATTGTTATCATAAACAAGCATCTCAGATTAATCCAGGTTTGCCCCAAATGTCTCGGGGGACATTTGGAAGCTTCTGAACAGATGAATTGCCCTCATTGCCATTAACAAATGAATCAATCTGCATTTTGTTACACCTACGGAAACAGAACAGCTAGGGAAAAATGCAACACAATAAAAATGAATCATTGGAATCAATAATTATATAACTGCATCACATTCGTGAAACTATATCACAGCAGATGCGTGCTGGAGACCGCTCACTGACCAAAAGGTCACTCACCTTCGTGCGGGTAGTTTCATTTACATGACTGTCTTATTTGTTATAACACCACACTATTTCACGTGCCAGTCCCATGAAGATCCGGGTTAGAATTGGTCTTCAGCAACCAATGCTTGTCGTACGAGCAGATTCACGGGATCGGGTGGTCAGGCTCGCTGACTTGGTTGACAAATGTCATCGGTTCCCAGTTGTACAGATCGACGCTCATGCTGTTGATCACTGGATTGTCTGGCCCAGACTCGATTATTTATAGACCGCCGCCATATAGCTGGAACATTGCTGAGTGCGGCGTAAAACTAAACTCACTCACTCACGCATGACTCATGTGTGTGTTTGTGTGTGCGAGCTTGCGTGCGTGCGTGCGTCACATACTCGTATTCTAACATCACGGAAATGAGAGTTTCAAAGTGGCGAGCAGTTTCTTGTGATTGAGTGAGAGGCGTTAGTTGTTGCAACAATCGAACATTTCAAATTTCAACAAGGTCACACACACATACGCGCGCACGCACACACACGCACACGCACACACACACACACAGTCACACACCCACACACAGTCACACACATAGTCACACACGCGCGCAAACAGATCGCAATTTGAAATACTTCGTTCTAGCAGTTGACTAGGTTTACAATGAATAGAGAGCGTGAATCTGTCTATTTCATTGTATTATATTTTTTACAGGTATGTATGGCAAGTGTAAATACCCTTGAAACATTTGTGTCTTAATTGGTGTATTCAATACCAGGGATAATGAGCTAGATTGTTTGGTAATGCTTAGTTCAGATGAACACGTCAAATACTTAACATCCTCAGTCAATACATACACCAACAGTAAATTCGATCTATCCCACTGTGACCAAATGAGTGATGTTGTCTAGTAGTTGATTTCACCTTGTTCCTGAATATCAATTTCAAATTTTCAAAATGTCCACATTCACTTCGACGCCTGAAGACCATCCATTTTCTCCACAGCCCTAGCTGTGTATTGGATTTCTGGATTGTGTAAATACCGTAATCTTCAGATGCAGCATGCCTACTCATGAGATCATTCAAAGATAAAATATTGCATCTGGTTGAAGTTCATTATGGACTTTGCTTTACCTTATCTGATCGTGGTTATTGGTTTTTATTATCTTATTGCCTTACAAATGCCAGTGGTATGCTAACAGAGGGAGGGGCATTCTCATGGGAAAGTTGCAGCTGCTGCACTTACAAGACCGCGTTTTTCAGCATTCAGCCATTATTATTTCATAATCTTATAATAATAATTTATTCTAGATCAGAAAATGTAATCACAAATCTAAAGCTTATATCTATATGCATTATTTATTCATTCATTCATTCATTCATTCATTCATTCATTCATTCATTCATTTAATTACTTCCATCCCTTCGGCCGATTGAAAGCATTGTATTTACAACTGTTATTTTTTAGTGATTTTTTAGTGATCAAAACGATCACTCTCAGAGACTGTGGACGGGAAAAATCAATATTTCTGATTGGTCCTGTGTTATTTAAATGAGCTGGCGAAATGGGAATGTATACCGGAACAGATATCACACGGAGTAAAACATTATATGAATGAATCAAAATCAGTGATGACACCAGGTGAAAATGAAAGTAGGTGATTGAGTGAGTTTAGTTTTACGCCGCTTTTAGCAACATTCCAGCAATATCACGGAGAGGGACATTAGAAATGAGCTTCACACACTGTACCCGTATAGGAATCGAACCCGGATGTTCAGCGTGATGAGCGAACGCTTTCACCACTAGGCTACCCCATCTCCCCAGGGTAAGGATATGTTGTTGTACTGGTATCACCTGCCATATGTCATATTGTCGCGCTCTACCCCAGATTTCAATTGCTCACTTGAGGATTCCAGATAACTGCCAGTCAGCTTTATCTCGAAAAAGGAATATCGGCAAGTAACAAATACACATTAAAACTGCGCACATATTTATAATATAGGATAAAATATTGTACATGCAGGTTATGATATATTCAAAGTAAATGGTCGTTAAAGGACTTTATACAAACTAGGACCATGACTGTACTCGTGCGGCAAACCATGATGTGGATGACTTGAAAAGAATTAGGTGTGTAAAATCATACTCAAACCATGGCCTGGTAGTCCAGGTGGTATCATACCCAAACCATAGTCTGGTAGTCCTGGTGTACCATCATACCTAAACAATGGCCTGATAGACCTGGTGTACCATCATACTCAAACCATGGCCTGGCTGTCCAGGTGTAGTATCATACTCAAACCATGGTCTGGTAGACCTGGTGTACCATCATACCCAAACCATGGCCTGGCTGTCCTGGTGTAACATCATACCCAAACCATGGCCTGGTAGTCCCGGTGTACCATCATACCCAAACCATGGCCTGGTAGTCCCGGTGTACCATCATACCCAAACCATGGCCTGGTTGTCCTGGTGTACCATCATACCCAAACCATGGCCTGGTAGTCCCGGTGTACCATCATCCCCAAACCACGGCCTGGTAGTCCTGGTGTAGTATCAGACACAAACCAAGGCCTGGTAGTCCTGGTGTACCATCATACCTAAACAATGGCCTGATAGACCTGGTGTACCATCATACTCAAACCATGGCCTGGCTGTCCAGGTGTAGTATCATACTCAAACCATGGTCTGGTAGACCTGGTGTACCATCATACCCAAACCATGGCCTGGCTGTCCTGGTGTAACATCATACCCAAACCATGGCCTGGTAGTCCCGGTGTACCATCATACCCAAACCATGGCCTGGTAGTCCTGGTGTACCATCATACCCAAACCATGGCCTGGTTGTCCTGGTGTAACATCATACCCAAACCATGGCCTGGTAGTCCCGGTGTACCATCATACCCAAACCACGGCCTGGTAGTCCTGGTGTAGTATCAGACACAAACCAAGGCCTGGTAGTCCTGGTGTAGTATCATACCCAAACCATGGCCTGGTAGTCCCGGTGTACCATCATACCCAAACCACGGCCTGGTAGTCCTGGTGTATTATCAGACACAAACCATGGCTTGGTAGTCCTGGTGTACCATTGTACCCAAACCATGGCCTGGCAGTCCTGGTGTACCATCATACCCAAACAATGGCCTGGTAGACCTGGTGTACCATCATACCCAAACCATGGCTTATTAGACCTGGTGTACCATCATACCCAAACCATGGCTTGGTAGTCCTGGTGTACCATCATACCCAAACGATGGCCTGGTAGTCCTGGTGTAGTATCAGACACAAACCATGGCCTGGTAGTCCTGGTGTACCATCATACCCAAACCATGGCTTGGTAGTCCTGGTGTACCATCATACCCAAACCATGGCCTGGTAGACCTAGTGTACCATTATACCCAAACCATGGCCTGGTAGACCTAGTGTACCATCATACCCAAACCATGGCTTGGTAGTCCTGGTGTACCATCATACCCAAACCATGGCTTGGTAGACCTGGTGTACCATCATACCCAAACCATGGCTTGGTAGTCCTGGTGTACCATCATACCCAAACCATGGCTTGGTAGACCTGGTGTACCATCATACCCAAACCATGGCCTGGTAGTCCTGGTGTACCATCATACCCAAACCATGGCCTGGTAGTCCTGGTGTACCATCATACCCAAACCATGGCCTGGTAGTCTTGGTGCACCATCATACCCAAACCATGGCCTGGTAGTCTTGGTGTACCATCATACCCAAACCATGGCCTGGTAGT